GGGCTTAGGGTGTAGGGCTTGAGTGCTGAAGCTACGCATCATGAGGAAAACGCAGAAGCCCTAGCCCCTAAACCGCTCAGTTGGAATGTGAGATCGCAGAGCAGCCATTCCGGGTAGTTTAGAGCCCGTGTCAGTAAGTGGAAGAAAGTGACCTGATACTGTGCGTGGCCAATTCTTGACCGTACAAGCACAAGCAGCAGCAGATGATGATGAGGGTAATTTGACGTGAATAATGATTAATGCATGTAAAAGTTTCATAGCGGCACAAACATGCGCAGGAAGAGGAGTGCAAGCAACGATGATGGTGATCAACCCCGGACGGGTAGGAGTACCCTTCGTCATCAAGAATCAACTGAAATGGAAAGTAAAATCGAAGCTGGGAGTAAATACAGTTTCACTAGGATGTGCTCTATACGCATCCGGCAGATCCTTACACTTGATGGACAAAATCCTGCATGAACCCATATGCCTTCAGCTTAGGAATCATGATGCCATGTAGCCTGAGGCTCCAGATAAACCAATGTAGGTAATACTTACAGACTTTTGGGCCGATGTATGTAGATGTTGCTTATAGATTTAGAGCCCCAGGCGTATACCTAGGATCTTGTAGGATTTTGTCAGTCAGCTGTAGTAGGCCTTAGGTGGACCATTGGGAAATATGGACTGTCTTGTTGCAACCCCGGTCCTGCCTGAAAAGGAATCAGCCCCCCCAGAAGACTTCAACCCGGAAGCCTGAAGTTTAGGGTTTAGGGTTCAGGATACCCAAGACACGAATGCTGAAGATCCTGGGCGCTTACCTTGAGGGTCAGGGGGACGCAGCACTGTGTCATATAATCCGTATAAGCTTTTAGAAGCCCCTGGGATCCCAATTATTAACCTACTTACTAAGTCCCCCAGACCCTCCATGCTTTTTAGCTGATACTCTGAAATTCTGAAACCTGAAACCCTATACCCTAAAACCCTAAATCCTAAGGTGCAAAACCCTCAGATCCTAAATCCCAAACCCTGAAATCGTCCCAGGCAGCTATTGCATACATCCACAGCAAGAGCATCATGCACCGCGACATTAAGGCAGGGCTTTTACTCCCTAGGTTAAGGGTTCAGGGTTTAGGGGCTTAGGGTTTAGGACTTATGCGCAACTAGTACTAGTGTTAGGGTTGCAGGCCAAGTAGGGAAACTGGCAGTGGCAAAGCAATCTTTGAGAAGAAACACATTTCCAAACCCTTCATCTTAAACCGCTGACCCTAACCCTAACCCCACACCTTAAACCCCCAGCTCTTAGAAACCTTGGGTACTGCCCCCACTCATTAACACATGCATAGCAATTTTTCATATAGTGAGATGTAGCTCTTAATATGACCTCTATTATAGACGTTTAATGGGTGGGGACAGGACCGAACACAAACCCTCAGCCATCCGCTCTCAAATCCCAATTCCTATAGGGAGTTCAGGGCGTACCGTCCCCAAGCTCCAGACCCGACACGAGCCCAAGCTATCATGGACGGGTTTAGGGTTTCCGAAACTTAAACCCCTTTGTAGTCCTATGCTCCCTAGTAGTACTTATACGGGAAATAGTGACTGACTTTAGCTCATATGAAAGTTAATACTGGGTGGAGGGGTTGCCGGGACCCTCTTGGAGGGTTATTTGGGGCTTAGCAAGTAGGTTAGTTATAGGAACAACTGCTGGGCAATGTAAGGCGATCTCACCCAACTATTCTAAATCACCCTGTAACTGCGGCTACAGTATGGCGTATCAGGTTTATAGGTATATGTACTTGCTGGTCGCCTTGGCCGACCAAGTGTTAAGGATACTCATCGTTGTTCTTATCAACGGCGCCCTCACGTTCATTCACATGATATGTAAAATGTGTGTTTCTATCTTGATAATTGTTAGTGCCTAGTCACCCTGATTTTAACCCCTCTTTAAACCCTAAACCCTATATTGTTGCTGCTCCAGGCAGAAAACTTCCTTCTCTCCGACAAATCGCCGACCTCAGTCGCCACTTGCCCAGCGAAAAGAGGGGTTTAGGGTTTAGGGAATTTCCCTTCAACGCATGTTGTTATTGTTATTGTCATTGTTAGTCGTCGTAGTAGTAGTAGTAGTAGTGGCAGCTGTAGTGATTCTATTGGGTCTTAGGGTTTGGGGTTCTTATTCGCAGTACTTAGTATGAATACTGGTAGTAGTATTCTGACGTTTAGAAATACCATGTGGATGATGATGCTTGGCGTCATGAACTCGAGCTGCCACTGTATTTTGTCTTGGTAGTACTGGTCTGAGGGACTAACCGTCTATGCCACCGGGGGGAGGCTCCATTTTTAGGATCCCGGCCGCTAAGTGAATTCGAAGGTTTTGGAGGTTCTCACGTAGTTATGAGGCTGTAGTCCTGTGATGGGACCAGGAGAATCAATGCACACGCACAGCAAGCTTGCTTTACTGAGATTTCACCGCCTGGATTCATCCAAAACGCTCCCAAAATAAGATCCCCATATACCCCATGTTCTATCCACTTAAGGGGGACTATATCCCCAAAAGAAGCAATGGCCATTTCATTCTCCAGCCCGGCAAACAACATGGTGCTGTTAGCAAGGAAAGGAGGAACGGATCCCTACTGTAGCCTCTATGGTATCCCCAACAAAGCCAAGTAATATGGTAGCCTTCAAATTAGCAAATTAACTCGTGAAGCATAACAAGTAGTAAGAGATCTGGTAAGTACTATAGACCTTGTTTGTGCTACCTCCCCAAAAGGAATCCTGATTCCGGAGCAAAAACCGTCCGTGCTGAGGTCAAGATGATCGATTTTGGTATGGCGGTGAAGTTTGACCACGGTATTTGGTTCAAGGCCTTCGTCCATGCTGTACGGTTTAGGGTTTAGGGCTTGAGATTGCGGGTGCAGGCTTCTTCCTGGTTGTCTTCGTCATGTAGCTTTGCGTTATTCATGCGGACGTCCCAGAACGGTGGGTGTTTCGTGCCTACATTCCGAAAGAGGTCTACAGGTTATGAATACCTGGACCCCGAAAGTATGTAGAATAATGGCCTTTTGGACTATATTTAGGGGTTTTGGGCCATTATTTTACCTACTCTGGGGGATTAGGTATGAGCTTCACACATAGGGCAGTAGCGGCACCGTTGTCCCAGCAAAGCCGCCCTTGAGCCTGACTTTGCAACGTGCCGGACCCTAGCACTACACGGGCATCCTGGCCTTTATAATGACTAGCCTCTGACAACTTAGGGTTTAGAGTTTCGGGTTTAAGGGGGTTACATAGGGGAGTATTATAGGACATATTAAGGGGGACCCTAACCCCTAAACGGTCCCTGGCACAATATCTGTCGTCCTCCCTTTCTTCCTGCTTCCTTGCCTCTTCCTGCTGACGCGAGCACTTGATTCAGAGAAACGTGCGGCTTGCCTCCCACCTTAGATCCAGCCCTACATGCAGCTGAAATTGTCAGCCTCAAAAAAAAACGCATAAAGTATGCATGGTAGTTTTTCAAAATCCCCTCCCCACCCCTCACGCACTCCTTAAGGGGACCCATTGGCTGTGCAATTCTGCGTCAGGGTACTTAGGGCACCTGGAGCTTGCGAAGCCTCACCCCTTACTACCCCCGACTCACACCCCTAAATCCCTAAGCCCCAAACCCCTAAACAAATGCCAACAAAGGCTGCCCATAATGCTCTTGTAAATCCTATATTTCCCTAGGGCCACTAAACAACCCTAAGCCCTAAATCAATCCGAATCCCTAAGCCCCAAAGCCTAAATCCTAATCCCTAAATCCTAAGGCCAAAACCTCTCAATCCCTAAACCCTAAATCCTATAAACCCTAAACCCTAAATCCTTAAATCCTAAACCATGAACCCTAAACCCTGAACCCCAAACCCAGTAGCTGGTCCAAGTGCAGGAGATCTGTGGCTCTCCGCATTACTTGGCTCCAGAGCTCATAGGCCCCGGCCCCAACCGGTTTAGGGTTTAGGGTTTAGGCATTTAAGTATAGAGTTTAGGATTTAGAAGATTTAGGATTTAGGGTCTAGGGTTTAGGATTTTAGGATTTAGAGGGTTTAGGCATTTGAACTATAGTCTAAACTCTGTAAAGGGACCTACTATAGGGGTTATTAAGAGAGATATTAGGAGTTTAGACTATAGCTCATTTAGGTTTAGGGTTCAGGGCTTAGGGTTCAAGGTTTAGGATTCAGGGTTCAATGTTTGAGGTTCCGGGTTTAGCGTTTAGGGTTTAGGGCTTGGGTTTAGGGTATAGGATTTAGGGTTTAGGGTTTGGGGCCACCGTAAGGGTCTAAAGTTTCGGGTGTTGAGGGCTAGGGCTTAGAGACAGTTCAGAGATTTAGGGGTTCAGTTGTTCAGGGGTATAGTTTTGAGGGTTCAGGGCAGTATCACACATCGATGGACAGCTTTTAGGTTTCCATTCCAAACCAAACCAACAGGGAAATGCAAGCATAGATGTTTTAGGTGTGTCAGCCTAACTCAGTAACATACTGGTTGTTAGAAGGGAATAAGGGAATATAATCCCCATGTAACACCTATTTTCATGTATTCCCTTATTCCATGCTAACCCCCCAGTAATGAAAGGAAACAGTTCTGTCTCGACAATTGCCTGCCTTCGGGTGGTTGCAGGGACCTTCAGCGTTAGGCAGGCAAATCGCATCTCGTATGTGCACGCACGTATGTCTACCTCTGTATATACACATGGATGTGTAGGCTTGTTTGTAAATACCGTCATTACTCATATATAGAACTGCCGTCGGTTTGAATGTACGAGCTTCCCCGGCTGACTGGTGCATGTGTAAGAGGTCCGGCCTCAAAGATCTGGATTAGAATTTACAGTCGGGTATTAGAGGTTGGCGCCAAGCAGTTGGGGTTACCCTAGACATTTGCAAAGCTCCCCTCGGCCCCAATCAGCATGACTCCCCAAAACGGACCCATACAAGGTTTAGGGTGTACTGGTAGGGTTTGGGGAAACTGGGGCTCTGTGAACATCAAAGCAATGCCAGGGCAGAAGTACAACCACATGGTTGACATGTGGGCCTTTGGCGTCCTGATGTACCTTCTGATGTACGGTCATTACCCGCCACTCAGATGCACGACGGTTTAGGGTTAGGGCTTAGGGTTAAGGGTCTTCCCTGGAGCCTTTTGGGTAGGCCTGGTGGATTCAGCAGCTCGGAAAATTGGTTCACCCCCCTTAGCTACGTTCCTATTCTAGGAACCCAAAACTTCAAAGTGTTGAGAGGGCTATGGCAGTCCTGGAACTTGCCAACTGCCTAACTAGCCTGTGCCAGGGCTCCGCAAGAATTCTGTAAGTTGATATTGAAAGTTGTGTCTGGAGAATCTTAGTCACACATACTTGTTACGTTGCGAACTTCCCATGAGTCTGCCAGCGCAGTGTCCATCTCTACATCATTGACAGGAAGATATGCAGGTCCAACGGAAGCTGAAACAAGTAGACCGAGTACCGCTTGATCGGTGTTTTTGGTTAGCTGCGCCCCTCAATTGAAACCCCAAACCTAGATGCTAAACCTTAAACCCCAGTGCTTGCCTAGTTAACCCATGCCATCCTCGACAGAGCTTTTTGACTAATTGGTGTCAAAGCACCCAAGCTGAACCTACATGTTTTATTACTGATCACGGCTGGCAACGATCGTTCCACTGGCCCAAAGTTTCTGGCATTCCTAGAAGTTTGTCCAGTCGAGGGCCCATGCATGCCATGACGGTCCCCTCTGTTAAATTACTCTCATTGCACAGGCCTCCAGTCAGTGCTGTCAGTGCTGCCGTAAAGGCATTTGAGCTGAGCAGCCAAGGTATGACTCGAAGAACACCCGAGACATCATGATGAAGGTAAGCTTTGGCGTTTTCGGTTCGTGGCTCTTTGGAGTTAGTGGCTGCTTCAGCCAGTCAATTGCATCGCAGTGCGGCTCCCGCCTATGGCCTATGGTTCTCTCATGGAGATTTATTTGTTCCCTTCTTCGCCATACAAGAAGAGGGATACTAGAGCACTTCTATTCAGTGACTATGGATGGGCAGGTGTCTAAAAAGAGGGGTTCCCTTTTTGGGGCTCCTGTAAGGATTATAGTGTGTTGGTGTCTGTATTGGCCTATTTATGGAAGTTCCCCGTATACAACCCAGATTCAAAGCACCTATAGTTCCCCTGAAGTAGATCAGTTTGAGAGAGGGTCGGCCCGTTGGAGTGGCGCGGGCAAGGATGCCTGGCAGTTGTGACTAGAATCCAAGGGTTTAGGGTATAGGGTCTAGGGTTTAGGGTTTAGGGTGAATGGTGTCCAGGATTTTAAGCCAACATTTGTCCCCATCTCGTTAAGACCTACAACCCTACAACCCGAAGCCCAACAGACCTTTACTTGGAGGGTCAGGGGGGCTTCGTAAGTACACTTACAACACCTAAAAGCCACATGACAAGCCCATTTGCTCCCTTTATGAATTACCCTACTTACGAAGTTCTCCTGACTCTTCAAGTATATGGTCCCAGTAGGAGCCATAAGATCCCCTCGCTTTGACGTAACATGCCAGGTGCTGACAGAGCCCATCCGGTGGCAAACAAAAGCAAAACTATCCCAGCAGACGTTTCTTGGCATCCGGTATAGAGTTTATGGTTTAGAGGTCGAGAGCTTAGAGTTAGGATGCAGGGTTTAGGACACTCCCCCAGATTCCACATTGAACATCGGACCGTTCCCCATAGTTAAGACCGTAGGGTCCAGGGCTTAGGCTAACCGTCTCCCTATAATTTCTACACCCCCCACCCTAACACTAAACATTCCCAACAGAATCAGAATCCTCATTCCAACGGCCGCCAGTTGGCTGCCAGGCAGAATTTGGTCTTGAGGTCCAGTACAAAGTATGGAAGCCGCTAAAGGTTAGGGTTTAGGGTCGAGGGTTTAGGGCTTGGGGTAAAGGAATACACTCACCCAAAAGAGCGGTCCTTCCCCTCGGAAAAAGGGGCCATGTCAGCTTTCATGTTTGTTAGGGGAGGGTTTCAACCCTGGCACTTGCATCCACAAGTCTTCCAAGGTACTGCTAAGGAACTTACAGATACATTCTAAATTCCAAACCCTAAAAGAAGAGACCTTCTGAGGGACCTTTCAATCGACTCATGGTTTTTTTCTTGCCCCTGGGCTTAGGGTTTAGGCTTTAGAGGTTAAGGTCAGGGTTTACGTAGGGTTCTTGAGTTTACGATTTTGGGTTAGAGTTTAGGTTTTGGGTTAATGGTAAGTGGTAAGATAGAAGCCTGACTGGTGCAGACGCTCTTGACTAGAGATCCGCAAATGTACCCTGATGTGACTACAATCTCGTAGATTCCTAAACTGTCCCAAGCCCTAGACCCTAAACTGTCCTAAACCTTGCAATTCTTCAGGCCCCGCTAGCAGGATATTCAGGGCTTTGGCCCTGAACTCCAAGACCAAGTCCTAAACCTTGCGCCCCCGACCCCAAACCCTAAACCCCAAACACTAAGCCCAAAAGCCTATACCCCAAACCCTAAACCCTAAACCCTCAAGCCCATATAAACTTACCATGACTTAGGGTCCTCAATTTCCTTAATTTTAAAATTTTAAGATTTCAAAAGTTTAAAACCCAAATGACCCCCAAAACCCTAAGTAATGGTAATAAACCAACCCCCAACTGCTGAAACCAACGCCTGGTCCCTTGAGGCTTGGCTTTTTGAAGCGGTGCTTGGAACCCTCGGTCCGAAAGCGCATGACCGCTGAGGCAATCGAACAAGGGTTTAGGGTTTAGGGGTTCCCCAAGACCTTCTACTATTTAGTTTGGGTACTGCCCCCCCCCCAGTAACAGTCTATATTAGGGGTCCTATTAAGGGCTATATATAAGCATAGTATACTTATTATCCAACTGTTACTGAGGGGGGCAGTACTGAACATTTAGTGCTTAAGGTTTAAGATTTAGGGTCCGCGGATTGCCAAGACCTTCTATGCAGTTTGGAGGGGTTCAGGGTTTATAGGGTTCAAGCTTAAAGGTTTAGTGTCTGGGTTTGAGCACAGCGCTTAGGGTGAAGTCTTGAGATTCCTGCATAGATGCCATGTTGTCCAGGAAGTACTGGCGATAAAAATGGTGTGTCTCAGGGTAGACTCCAGGTGATGCGGCGGTAATTTACGACATGTTTCAGTTCCAATTCCCTTAGAATTGAAATATGGGTTGCTCTCAAAATTCGGGCCCTAGTGGTTCAAGATTCTACTAGGCTCCTATTGCACTGCAAATGGGTCCAGCGTGGCGTTTCGCCAGAGTTTTTTAGGTGGTATTTAGCTCGGAATCAGTTCCGGGCAAAGACCAGTCATCATTGCTTTTTTAGGGGTTAACGGTTCAGGTGCTTCTGCAGCATTCAACCCCTTCGCCGTTGTCATGCTGCTAAAGACCCTTCAGTTCTTAGTTTGGTAGACCTGAGCACCAAATCTCCCAACTGCCAAAGGTCAGGAAGTTCACCATAAACTGTTTCACCCTAAGCCTTAAACCGCGTAATCATGGCAAAGCTTAATTACCCGAATATTGACATGCCTCCGCAGGCGCCCTAGTATCACCCGGAAGCTTGACACCCTAAGCCCCGTTCCGTGCCGACTTTCAGCCGTTCCAGGTATTTAGACCCCGCTGCTAAAATCTAAACTTTCAACCTTAAATCCCGAACCCTAAATCCTAAGTTCCCTGAATGATTTCTAGAAACCCTTTCGAGGAGAATTCAGTCCCTACAGGAAAGGGCCCCTGCACTTGTGGAAGTAAGTCGCAAGAATTGTATATAGTTACGCGACGTACAAGTATACTTCTGCAAGTAAACCGCCTATCTGAAAACTCTTTAGACCCTTCAAAGCGCCTTAAATCCCTAACCCGCCCTGCACCCTAAACCTTATACAACCCCTTGAAAAAATCAAAGGAGACGTGACTCCCTAAACACTAAACCCTGAATCCTGA